TGACTCTATCGATACGGGTTCAAGAAATATTAAGTTGCATCAGTCTGACTTAATTGATATGGCCCCTCCCTTATGCAAAGATTCTTCATTCATTGTTTAAGCTTGAGAGGTTACAAAAGAATCTGTTAGTTTCTTTAATTGGTTACCGAAGCATTGGATTAAGTATTGGTCTACATTAAATCACATTGAAATGGTAGAGCAGCCTTGGTATCCTGTAGAAGAAGGTATAAAAAGGCTTAGAGAAATTGGCATGCTTGAGTTGATTTATTGGGTTGGACCCAAAGAATCACCCTAAGAGTGTCCAGAAGACAAGTTCTCTTTCCCCAGCAACTCCTGTCATTTCTCATGGTCATGGTTGCAGGGATAGAGGTTATGCATTGATCAAGGTTGACTTGGTTATAGTCACTGCTGAGTGCCCACAACACTGAGTCCTCAATATGGCAGCATTCCTAGAAGTGATTAGCCATCCCTGTGTCAGGTTTGTTACATTGGACCATGGAGAGGGCAGTGTTTTGCTTTTACTAGGATACATGCTTATTTTCTATATGTGTTTGCCTTTCCTGAAGGTAATGCTTCTGCCAAAACTACTATCAGTGATTCACAGAAAGTCTTATACACCTTCATGGTATCCCAATCAGAATTGCCTCAGATAAAGGAACTCAGGTCCCAGCAAATGAACCATGGCGATTGGTCCATGCTTATGGAATTTGGTTGGATTTAAGATGTGGCTCTTACCATGTTTACCATGTTTCTCATCATCCTGAAGCAACTGACTTGATAGAATGATGGAATGGCCTTCTAGAGACACAATTAGGCACCAGCTAGATGACAAGTGGTAGAGTAGTTGTTACAAATCGGGCTGTGAACCTCAAGGTTAGCAGTTCCAAACTACCAGCTGCTCTGCGGGAGAAAGACGAGGCTTTCTGCTCCTGTAAAGATTTACAGCCTTGGAAACCCTGTTCAGGGTTGCTATGAGTCAGAACTGACTCGATGGTACTTTACAACAACAAAAGATGAAAAAACATTTTAAGTTTGGGGCAATATTCTCCAGGAGGTTCTATATTCTGTAAACTAGCACCCAACATATGATGGTGCTTCTCTATTAGCCAGAATTCATGGTTTCAGAAATCAGTGTGGTAGACACTATCACCCATAGTGTCCCACAAGAAAAATTTTTGCTTCCTATCCCCTTGACTTTATTCTCTGTGGGTGTATGGGTCTTAGTTCTAAAGGGATAAATGCTGCTGCCAGGAAAAACAAAACTGGTTCCATTGGAGTGGAAGCTAAGAATGCTATCCAGCCACTTTGAACTCCTTATGCCTCTGGATCAACAGGCAAAAAAAAGGGACTTACTCTACTGACTGATGTGGCTGACTCTGATTACTAAGAGGAAATGGAATTGATATTGTATTATGAAAGCAAAGATGAGTACATCTGAAATACAGGATATCTTTTAGGACATCTAAGTGTTACCATTCCCTTTGATTAAAGGCAATGGAAAATTACAGCAGCCAAATCATGATATAACTACTAATGTTCCAGACACTTCAAGTTTGGGTCACCCCACCAGGCAAAGTATTGGGTCACTCAACCAGACAAAGGATCATAACCAGCTGAGATGCTTGTTGTGGAAAAATACAGAATGGGTGGTGGAAGAAGGTAGTTCTAAATATCAGCTACAACATGTGACCAGTTGATAACTTTTTTTTTTTTTTTTTAGTATTCCTTATTTTGTTTTACATGCATGTGTGTGTGCATACATACATACAACAAATATCTTTGTTTTCTTCCTTTTCTTATTACATTAATCAGAAAATATATGATTTAAATGGGGCTATTAACATTTTTGGAGTCCTCATGTGGCACTGTAGGATAAGTACTGAACTGCTAACCACAAGGTCAGTGGTTCAAACCCACCAGACATTTCTAGGAAACCCTATACAGGGTTGCTATGAGTAGGCAACAACACAATGACACTTAACAATAACAGTGTATTTTTGGTTGTACTTATGTTAGTTTTAGTTATATCACGTTAAGCACAGTATGACTTTATTATTGTTTTTACTTAAGAGATTATTTGTGTGTAAGAAGATATGTGCAGGTACCAAGAAGACAAGAAGTGGATTGTAAGGTTAAACTTCTGTTCATATTGGCTAGGCCATAACTCTCAGTGGTTTGGCGCGTATTATGTAATGATTATTCCGTCTGTGATCTGAGATGAGCAGTCAGTCAGTTGAAAGGGGAGTTTCTTTAGGGGTATGGTCTTAACCTAGTATATATGGATGCTTTGCCAACACTTACCCCCTCTCTCAATACTGCATCTGACTTGTAATCCTCTGACTTTTGGTTCTTGGGGTGTGAGCCTGTCATCTGACTTGTAGATTTTGGGATTTGCAGAGACCCAACCTTAACTTTGGCCACCACTGTATTTCAGAGGGGAGTTCTGGTGTGGTGCTGTGGCATAAACCGGCAAGCTGCTGCCCAACCTCCCAAACAGACCCTGCAATCAAACGAGTCAGGAGAAGCCACCAATTTGATACTTGGCCCACTTGTTTTGGGACTTGTCAACCTCCACAAGTGCATGAGCTATTCCTTGAAGTAAATCTTTCTCTATATATTTATATATGTATGCTTAACTGTTTTTGCCCCTTTAGAAAACCCAGCCTATGGCACATGGGGAATGTTCACAATATGTGATATATGTAAAAAGATTACGATACAGATTTTTCTATACTGCATGCTATTAATAATTAAAACAATTCCACAAAATTGGATGGAAAGAAGACAAAACACTTTATCCTTTAACTGCTCACCACAATTTGTAGGCAGAGCCTTCAAAAAATTATGGAGAAACTTCAGTTTTTAATTTCTGTTTTCATATGAACTTTTTGAGGCCCCTTCATATATGTGACTTGCATATTCAGAAATATCATGTTTTAAACTTTGTGCTAGATCCGAAGCATAATGCCTCGGCAATTTTACCATAAGTGATTGAATCTTATTCTGGAAGCATCTGAAAGATCAACATTTACACATATAACAAACAGACACCTAACCTTAACTTTGGCCACCACTAGTGGTTACGAATCGGGCTGCGAACTGCAAGGTCAGCAGTTCGAAACTACCAGCTGCTCCGCGGGAGAAACATGAGGCATTCTGCTCCCGTAAAGATTAACAGCCTTGGAAACCCTGTGCAGGGTCGCTATGAGTCGGAACCGACTCCACGGCACCTAACAACAACAACATATTTCAGAGGGGAGTTGTGTTGTGGCGCTGTGGCATAAAGCACTAGACCGCAAGGTCGGCTCCTTGGAAACTTATACAGGGTCACTAAGAGTCGGAACCAACTTGACTGCATTTAACAACAAGAAGTTAAATTATGTTTTATACTTTTACCTATCAAATTTGCATTTGTTGAATCATAGGTATTGCAAGTGCCTTTTCAACTTCAGGAAAGTAAAAAGCCATTCCCCTGAAACACAATCAAACCAGGTTAAGGCAATTACCAGGAGCAATTCTTTATATTATCCAGTTGCATAACACACTTCTTGAATAAATGACATATCCTAATTTAGGATACATCACCAGATTCAAGTCAGAGAGTATCCTCTGCCAATCGATATGAGTGCGGGTCACTGGAAGATCTCTTCGTAGAATTTTCCTCAAGGCTTCATTAGATAACTCCTGTAATTCTTCTAAGACTGCAACTTGAAATTTATTCTCTTGTTCTTCCACAAGCCTAGCAAAACTTAGAGCCAGTTGAGCTTGGTTAACTACTTCCAAGCTTTCTTTCAGGTCCTTGGAGATTTCAACATGAAGATTGACACACCTGAAGTAGTGAGCTTGCACAAAAATTCTTCCTGTTACTTGGGTCAGAAATGGATTTATTTGGAAAATCCATGTGGATTTCCAAAGACCATTCCAGTAATCACCTGATTGGTAGTTGTGATCTTCAATGCAGGCTATCAAGAACTCCTTCTTTTTCACAGTTTTTCTCAGCACATTGCAGTTTCCATTTGGAAAGTGATCACTCACATACAGTTTCAAGGCACACAGAACGACAGTTCTTAGGTATTCTGTCTCATTCTGAATGATACCGTGACTTTGGATGTCTTTTAATTGATTTTGAAGTAAATCAAATTTGAAAGAAAGTTTGCTTTGGTAGTCAAAAAATCGGTAGTTACCCACTTCATTGTGGTGAGATAAGAGTACTGGATTGCCATCGATACAGAGTGGTACTGAATATTTTTGGCAGTGTTGGTGGCCTGCACACTCACCTTGAAGTTGCATAAGCTTTTCATCACGGATAAGCAGACAGAGATCATCGAAGGCATTTACAAATTCCCCGGGAGGAGCCTGTATTAGCAGTCTGCGAATCATTCTTTCTTTATCTTTCTTGCTTAGCACTTTAAGTGACATGTTTGCTTGCAACAGAAGCAAAGCTTCTGAAATAAAGAGTGTTCAAGGGAATGAGAAAACATTCCATGAGACACCTTTCTTATCAGGTGTTAAACATTCAAGTTTAAGATTATTGTGCTTAACCATCAAAGCAGGTAGTTTGGCAGGCTGTGAGTCTCCTGATTACATAATAAAGAAGCTTGTGCTATGAGGGTTAGAACTTTTGATGATATCACAATGGGTGCTCACACCAAAAGGAAAAAAAATGACAGTCACCTGACATCATGGTCCCAGCCAGCCAGCTAAACGTGTTTTGAAGACTTTAAAAGCTAACCTTCCTGAGCAGACTTCTTCAAAAGTGATGTGTTTCTGTGTGCTATATCTTGTAAGATATTGAGAAAAGCAGCCTGGAGCTCCATGAGAGCATTTGACAGCGTTTTGCACCTTAAGGGATCATTCGGGAATTGATTTGTACTCAGACTCTCAGAATATTTTCCCCAAACCCACTGGAAGGCCATTTTGATGAAAGGTTAGAAGGGTTTAAACAAACAAACAAACAAAGTGAAAATAAAATGAGATACAATGGCAGTTCATGGGGGAAAATGTCAGCAGCATGCTGTATCTATAAACATTTGAATTTTGAGGTGGCCAAACCTAGGAGTCAGAAAGTGTGAAGGGCAGGCATTGAAGATCTGTTTCTCTTGTATTGGTTCTGTGGGACTTCATAGTGAGCTAGGTCCAAAGAACAAAGGCAACCACAGTGTGTTCTCTGTTTTCATTCTAGAAAAGAGGTGGCAGTGGCAACAGTAGAAGATTATCAAGAAATCTCATTCCTGCAAGAGAGCAGAGTTAACCATATTTGGAGTCTGTAACAACATCTAATGGGAAGAGACTTCATAGTGACGAAAACTGGCATAACAAGTCATGAGAGTATTGAGAACAAATATCCACTCCAAAGTCCTTTCTGTTCTCCTATCTGCTCGCTCTCTTGACCGACTCCTTTCACTAGATTTTTTTTTTCTTATTATTTTGGGAGAGTTCTGAACTTAAGTCCCTTTCATTTAAGTACAGATTACTTCCTTCCACATCTGTCTTGAGCTTTTCTGAGTTTCCCTAGCTTCCTGTATCTTTTTCTTAGAAAAACAAGTTTTGCTACATTAAGTCATAACTATCAAATTTAAGAGCTTCACAATAGTTCTGTCTAAAACTGGATAGATATTTGAACAATTTTTACCTACATATTTCATGACTTTCTATAGATGATCCTATTTCATCTGAGCCTTAGCCTTTCAAATTGAGATGTTTTAAGTTTTGTAGTTTGTTTTAAATAATAAGTAAATTAGATTACTTTAGTTTTCTTTGTTACATTAGATGTAAGCTCACCATAATAGTATTGTTAACTCCCTTTTGATGGCTATCAAAATGCTGGGTTTTTTTGATACATGTATAGCTGGAATGGAACATCTTTCAGTGTAATAGCAATAATATATATCATAGTGATAATAATTATATCCATAATGTTTATTATTTATTGAAAACTCAGTAGTAAAAGCAGTTCAATGATATATTAAAGATTTATTTAGTGATCCATCTTTTCTAAGATTTTGTTGCTATTGTTAGGTGTCATCAAGTTGGTTCTGACTAATAGCAACCCCGTATAGGGTTTCTGAGAAACAGCTGGTCACTTTGAATTGCCTACGTATGGTGCAAACCAACCTTATTGTTCAGTGTTTACCCAACAGCACCATGTTAATATATTCATTTTTCAGTTGAAGAACTGAGGCTGAGAGAGGTCAATTATGGGGATTCTGGGAGTTTTGCTACTTCCCATGGCCATGCCATAAGGAAATAGAGGGTAATAATGTTTTCATGTATTTTCCAAGACATTATTTTATTTCTTAATTTTAAAAATCCATATTCTTTTCTTCTATATTTTATTTATTATAGCATGGTAACTACCTAATTTTATGTTTGTCTTCAATATTATTTACATTTAAATTATCTTGTCATTTAATTTGTTCACAAAATATATACCTTTAAGAATATAAATATATTTTGAAGACTAAAGAGAAATCAAACATTATTTTAAGCATTTACAATACTTAATCATTAATTATGAGAATTTCCTTAACTTCTTTTTTGTGCATCATACATGGTTTTTACTGAAGATTCATGATGAGTTTAGAGGTGGAAAAATTAACCTACAAAAAACTGTGAAATTACTTGGAAAATTAGACATCCAATGTGACATTACTCATGTGAAATATATTTTTAAGGTGAGATTAAATCTGCCTCCCACCCGTATCCTAAGTAGAACTTAAACCACTGTCAGTAAATATCAGTATCCATTTGGACTTTGTATGGTTTCTATAGAAAATATATATGAAAAATTAACCTTTTAAGAATTAAAGCACTTAATGTTAAATATATCTGAAATAAATTTGGAGATAATTTATCTAGGAGGTGAAAATAATTCTTGACAAAATTATATAGAAAATGTTTATCACTTTAGGACAATCAGTTTAATATATAAGAACATATGAGAAGATTCAAAAAGTTTGTGGAAAAATAAAACTGAAATAAAATGGAATTTTTCCATAAGCTTTTTGAAGTCCCTTCATACAGTATATACAAGTAATATAATTATATCAACATGGATAGTAGCAATAAACTTGAGCAATGGATAAACTTAAGAAAATGTTGTATTCATTCTAAGAGAGAAAATTGTGCCCAAAGATTTCTTTGCCTAAAGAAGGACTAGCTGAAAGGGAAACTGGCTCAGTTCTGTGAGTAGAGGACAGAGGGAAGAATCATGAATAAAATGAGAAAAAAGCCAAGTATGTTGGCTGAGTTTTTGAGTAGGAAGTTGGCACATTTCTTGGATAATCAGGTAAGAATGTTAGAGCGAACAGTCTAGATAGTTATGAAGAGAGATAACCTGAATATAATTTTGGCTTCTGAGGAGTGGGTAGTTGGATTCCTAGTCTATGTTGAAGCAGTTATGACCATCACAGACTATGAAGGATCAGAGATTTTACCCTGCTTGCAAGCTAACAAATTAGCCTACTTTAGTTTCATGGATATTGATAGAAAGGAAAGCATCTGGGTTAGAGCTAAAAGACAATTCCCCACATTCAAAATTGCAAAGGATGAGCTGAGGAAGGTCAGGTGACTCCCACACACGCAACAGGTTATGTTAGAGAAAAGAAGCCTCAAGTTAAAGGACCCCAAATCTTGTATGCTTGACAGTAGGTCTATTTGATATTTGCCCTGAAGGAGGTCATCCTCTTTACTATTTAGTGTTGTTGCTAAGTGCTTTTGAGTAGGTTTCAACTCGTAGCAACCCTAATAGAGTTTCCAAGGAGTGACCAGTGGTTAGAAGTCCAGTTCTTATCCTACAGTGCCATTCTTTATTATTGAATAGTAGACAAATATGTTCTCTGTTCTGGAGGGAGGTACTAACTCCCCCAAGACTGTTGGCTATGCAAATATCCTTGAAAAGATAGCTCTAAAGAGGGACAATTTGTGCTTCTCTTCAGAAGACATGCAGAAACACAAGAAACACATGAAGAATGAATTGGATCACAACAACCACTTTCTCAGAAGATTTAGCTAACTAAGTTTACACATAACTAACAGGAGGTATAAAAAAAAAGGAAAATTGTATTTCTCAAGAGGCTGGAGTCAAAAATCTAGAGTTTCAGGGATATTCCTGTGAATACAAGCAGCGTAGGCTGCTACAAGTTAATCAAAATTTTAACGGATTCATTATAATACTGCATTTAAAGAACACACGTTTTTGTGAATACCAAAGGTATTCAAGGAAAAACAGCTATGTGCTTCCAAATTTAATGAAATCCACACTCAACATAATATAAATCCAATGCTGTTGATTCGATTCAATTCAGACTCATAGTGACCCTCCCTAAAGGACATAATAAAACTACTCTCCATAGTGTTTCCAGGACTATAAATCTTTGTGGAAGCATGCTGCTCATCTCTCTCTGCTGGAGAGGCTAGTGGGTTAGAAACAGCGACCTTTTGGTTAGCAGCCCAATGCTTAACTTACTCTGTACCATCAGGATTCCTTCAACCCAATATAGGGATAGTAATATGAAATATTTTAAGTATTACTTGGTGATTATCAAGTTTCTTTGATTCCCCCTCAAAATAGAGATATTGTTTGAAATGGAAGTGAATGAAATATATGCCAGATTTAAAATAATTTGGCAGAATGTTCAATATTTATAACAAGTACAGAAATTAATTGGAGTTTATGATTATTTGGACATGAGCGGGCCTGAAAGGTCTGCTTTATTTAGCAAAACCTTTTTGGAAAGGCTGTGCAAACATTGTTAATTATAAAAATTAGAGAGGCAAAGATTGCTTAGATTATTTCAAAAATTTTGTAAAAATGACTCAAGTGTATTTACATGTAAGCAAGGCTGATGGTCATGATGAACAATTCTTAACATTAAAATAATTACCCTGGTGACATAATGGTTAAGTACTCAGTTGCTAACTGAAAAGCTGGTAGTTGGAAACCACCCAGCAATTCTGCTTTGTGAAATGGAGTTGTTAAGAGTTGGATTTGATTTCATAGCATCTAAAACAACAGGTCAAATAAATAGATAATATTTTTGTTTCCTTGGGCTAAAGTCCTGTTATACTTTAAAATTTTAATAAAATAGAATGCTTAAGGAAGATATATCGGCTAACTGAATTTTAGGCGCATCCAGGCCTTTGCTTCATCTTCTGTTGCTAATCTTTCCACATTTTATCAGTACACTTCTGCTAGAGTAAATAAAATGAGCCCTAATGAATTTTACTTTAATGACTAAAATCATCCTGTCTCAGGGATATTATTATTGGCAAGATAAATGAACTTAGAGATTTTTAGCTCTATTAGATTCTAGCTGAGTAGTACTTGGCAAGCCAAAAAATCTCTCTGATCATATTTCTGAACCTGCAAAATGGGGATATTAATACAGTTATGTCACAGTGTTGTTCTGAGTCCTAAATAAAATATGTGTGAAAGTACTCACTATCAGTAGGTCCTCATGAATAACAGTTGTTTCAAACATATAGGAACCGGCTTTAAATTATTAATTTCCTAAGGATCTGTGTTCAAAAAAATCTTTGACCAGAATTTATTTGCCTATAAAATTTCAGAAAAGACCATATAACTTTATGACGTTAACAATGTACACACTCACAACTTCTTTCTACAAAATTAATTATTGAATCATTCTTGAGCAGCAGTTCCCTAAGTTGTTTTATCCCTTTGCCAAATTTAATGTGCTTTTATCATTGTCTTCAATTTAAAATATAAGAAGCATTATGGACCATTTCAATGCTCATAATTAATCTTAGATTACAGTTTTGATTGTTGATTGAGCATAAAAATGGTATCCTACATCATTTCAAGAACTGATGTTACTATGTTGTTGTAAAGTGCCGTCAAGTCAGTTCTTACCCATAGTGACCCTGTATAGGATTTCCGGGGAGTAGCTGGTGAGCTTGAAGCGCTGATCTTGCAGTTCAAACAGCTTTGCAGTCTGGCTCATTAACCCACAGTGCCACACCAGGACTCCTGATGTTATTATAGGACTTTAAGTCTTCAAATTCCCTGTGCACTTAACAACTATTATTAAATCTACTGTATGTGCAAAGCACCCTTTTAGGAACTGTGGGTTGTAAAAAACTGAATAAAATAGGATAAATATTATTTATTCACAGATAAATAATTTATACATTTATAAATAAAATAAAGTAAGGAGGAAAAGAAATACAAAGAAATGAAAATTTATAAGATGGCTATGTTAAGTATCATAATACTAACAAGGAATCTGCAAGACAGAAAGTATTTTCTATTTGACTTGGACTTTTATAGACATATCATGGTGGAGGTGGGCTTCTTGCTGGGTCTTGAAGAGTGAGAAGCAATATGTGTAGAGTTAAGTACAAGGCATGTTTGGAGAATAGAAGGTAATTCAACGGAAGTCTGGAGTATAAAATACATGAAGAGGAGTAGTGAGAAAGAGTAACAAATGTATGCCAGAGGATGGAAATTCGAATGTCGACTATGAAATTAGGTAACTATTGATATTTTTTTGAAAAGATAGTATCAATGTATTTTTTGGATAAATAATCTGGCAACAGTGCAAAATGCATTGGCAATTAGAAGACAAAGAGAAAAAGCTGATTATTCTTATGCTACCTCTGATCTACAAACTCACATCAATTCGGTCCCTTACATACTCATCTAATTACACAATTTTCTGTTTGGATGCGCCTTAAATTTATGGTCGTATCTCAACTGGTCCTTCATAATCTAAACATTTTGTCTCTGAAAATAAAGAGCGTCAAATCCTCTTCTAAATATATTCTCTCATTTGACATATAATTTGCCTGAAAGGACCCTTTATATTTCTTTCTCCACTTCTTCCCATTGCAAATAATTTTGCCGTCACACCTATCTTGATAACTTTTTTATGCCTCGTGGTTGATTGTGTGCTGTGGAGTCAGTTTCAACTCACAGTGACCTTATATAGCATGTCCGGGACTGTAAATCTTGACGACAGCAGAACGTCTCATCTTTCGCGCTCGGAGCAGGTGATAGATTACTACTGCTTGCAGTTAGTAGCCCAACTCATAACTACCTACACTACCAGGGCTCCCTAAAATATTAAAATCACTGGCTAGTCTCTTTACTCATTTTATTTATCTCACTTTACTTAAAATTCTGTCTTTCTGATTTCAATGACATTGCTGTCTCCTAGCTCCCCTTTTAAATCTCTGACTATTCTTTTCATCTGTTCTGTGATGGTCTCCTCCTCTTAAAATTGGGTTTATTTTCTTTCCTCTGACTTTACAAACTCTTCCGGAGTAATCTTATTGACAGTCAAAGCTTAAATGGCATATGGGAACAAATCCCACTTATTTTTGTCTTGGGTACAGAAGCCATATAAATAATGCCATTTATTCATCATCTGCCATATTCTTGGTGATAGATTATGATTTCTCACATATGATATAAGTAAATATTCAAGGGGCTTATTAGCATATCTTGTTACACATAATAATAATTGAGGATAAGAATATTGATATAATTTGCTCATATCTCATATCACAATGAGAACTTGTATCTGGATCGGTCTGATTCCAAAGTCTATGTGTCTTCTTTTATAACATGCAGCCTGACTTCTCCAATATCTTACTTTTACTTGAATACCCCAGAGATACTTCAAATTTGATGGAGCTTATCTTCTTCTTT